GGGAAATGCAACGAACGGGAGCCCGCAGGCCTCTTCTGAAATAAAGCCAAACCAGCTCCCTGGTGGGCTAGATCTGGACCTCCCACACTCGAATTCAAACGTTGCCTGGACTGTGTCTGAAGCACTGAATCCTGGGAAAGGAGGGAGGGGGCAAGGCTCAGTGCTGACCCTTGCAAGGTAGACTCTATGCTATCAAGCGTGGAAGCCAGAGAGCCCGGCCTCCCCGGGTATCCGTTCCAGACAGGTGAGTGACTATTCTGTCCTTAGAGACCTCTGCAGAGAGACTACAGCCCAGCTCAGAAGCCATGCCAGCGTTCTGTGTCATTTATGTCTTCCACAAGTATCTACTGGGCACCTACTAGGTCCCAGGCACCATTCTAAGTGCAAGGATTGTGGCCATAAATAAACCCAGGCCAAATACAAAACAAAACACCGCTGGGCCTGTGGAGTTGACCTGTTGGTGGGAGTTTACAGAGAATAAACAAAATTAGTAAAAATATCTTATGTATTAGATTGGCTGGGGTGGGGAAGGGTAGAGGAGGGAATGCAAAGGATTAGTGGAACAAAGAAGTGGCAGGGAGTCAGAAAAAAACTGCCTAAGGTGATCTGAACAAATACTTGAAGGTAAAGAAGTATTCCAAGCAAGTGCAAAGGCCCTGAGGCGGTCTAGTAACCAGTGTGGTAGAAGTGAAGCGAGACTGAAAGTAGCAGGTAAGGAGCTCAGTGAGGTGACAGGCCAGATTCTGCAGACTCTAGTAGGCCTAAGCCTTTCAGCTTCTATCTGAGTCCAAGTCTGGAGTCAAGCGTCGGGAGTGGGGGGGTGTGGATGGGACCTGACCTGTGTCTTCAACAGGCCCCCGCTGGCCGCTGCATTGAGACGAGACTCCAGGGGTCAAGGATGGAAGCAGGGAAAGGAGTATGGAGGGAATGCTCAAATCCTAGAGTGAGCCAACCGACAGTGGCTCTGGCCAGAATGCAATTGGGCGGAGGTGGGGAGGGTAGGCGGGCGTCGGTGAGTCCCCGGCAGATATGGAAACGGTGAGTCCCCGGCAGATATGGAAACATTTTGAAGAAAAAGGCAACAGGCTGTGCTGACAGCTGAGATGGGGAATGGGAGGCTGGGGAGGGGTGGGTCAAGGATGCTGCAGGTGTGGGGCCTGGGCACCAGAGGACAAGGCTGGTATTACCTGGTGTTAGGAGGGTCCAAAGTTCTGTTTGGGACAGGCTAGGATGGAGCACCGCCCCCCCCACACCCCACACCCCTCCCACCCCCAGCTGGAGAATGCAGTTCCTAAAAGTTGAGTCCATTACCACATTCACCCCCAAAAGTATCACCGATGGAGACGGTCCAGCTGGGGGAAGGAGAACAGGGCAAAGCAGTAAGGCAACCTGGGAACCCCGTATTAGCTCTTGCCCGGCCCTGTCCTCTCAAAGGTTCCCTTTCTCCTCCCCAAGCTATTTACCTTCTTACCTTGGGCCCCTCATGCTCCCATTCCGGCCTCCAGATTCCCACATTCATGCAGGAAGTGGGATGAGGGGAGGATCCCATCCATTCCTGGGTCCCTTTCAGCTCTAACCATCCAAAGGGAGGGAGGGGGAGACTGGAATGAGGGATGCACAAAAAGGCGGAAGTAGACAGGAAGGTAAAGGGATGACTCTGAAAACTGACAGGAAACTGGGGGGGGGGGGGGGCAGACTTGGAGGGTGGAAATTGGGCTCTTCAAAGACTGTTGTGAAGCCAGGAGGAGCTATTAAGAGACAAATTACACTGACTCCAAGGCCAGATCTTACCCCAGGGGGAATGTCTAACAGCTTCTAAAATATTCCTGTTCTCCCACCCCTTGGCTGCTGATTCAAATAGTCCGAGATTTACCGAGTTCTCCGAGGCAAACAGCAGCTCGGGGGGTCAAATACTAGCAGGATTCCATGAAGGGCAACACGGATCTGCTATTTCCACCCACCGCCAGCCACAGCAGGGGCAGCAGCAAGAACTAACTAGAGAATTCCAACCGGTGTCGACCGCTTACAATTATTGAGCACTAACTGTATACCAAGCAGCAACACTCTAAGTACCTGCCAAGGATTTGCTCATTTGTTCCTACATCACTGCTCTTTGCTTCTTCGTTTTATCTTATCCACCCCCCAATTTCCATATAGGGAAACTGAGGCACACAGAGAAGTAACTCTCCTGAGCTCCAGGACCAGGACTGGAAGCCAGGGGATGCGAGCACTCCCTCTGGGGCCCTGCACCGCTTACTACTTTTTTTTTTCCCCTTTTTGACACTTTTTTTTTTTGCAATTTTTCTACACTGGGTCTGCAACCTAATAAATAATTTTTAATAGTTAACACCGAAGGAGAGGCCCAGGCCCATTCTCCCAACCATCATACAAATACCAGCCACAAAACAGCCCCCTCCTGCCAGCAGTGATGGAAAAAAATAAGCCAAATCTTGGTGAAATTGGCACCTATTTGGGTAACAAAGATGCTCTTTTCTCACCCCGGACCACCTGCCTGTGTAAAGGCGATTAAGTCAGTGAAACCCTCACCATGGACGACTTCCACGTTCTGGTTTTTCTGGACATTTCCTGAAGCTCAGAGGCAGGCACTGGCCCAGGAACAAAGCTCTGATAAGAGTCTCACGTGGGCCAGTCCCTTTAACTTCTGAACACACGACCTTGGTCAGGGAGAAGCCAGGCATACGTGGGCGGGGGCAGCCCAATCTCTTTCCCACCAACTGAAGAAAAAGTGAGTCCAAAGGAAGGACAAGCAACTGGAAACCTACAACTTCATCTTCAGCTAGAATGATTTTTTTAAAATGCACTGTTTAATTCTGTTCAGGCCACAGGCTCGGCCTCTTACTAGGTGATCACATTTTCTCTTCAAACAACCATAACCATAAAAAGCCCTTTTTTTTTTTTGAAACCTGCCCCCATTTTACAGATGCAGAACCTGAGCACACAACAGTCAAGTGGCTTGGCCAAGTTCACATGGTTTAATTGGCTGGGAGGTGGGCCTTGAGTATGCCACCCTGGAAAACACAAAAGCTACCTTCTTTCTGTTCCATTTGGTTTCTCCTGCTACCTGGAAGTTTTCAGGCAGTAGTGGCCAGCTCTCAAACTCTAGTTCCAGGCCCCTAACACCCCCTCCCGCACCCAAAACGGGGGCATCCAGGAATCCAGAAAGAAAGAGGCAGAGGAAATTCTGCAAGGTGAAAGACTGGGCGAAGAGGGAGGGTCTGCCAGTGAAGACCAGCCATTACCTTCCCTAAGCAAAACAACCACCTGATCATTTCTGTAGCAAGAAGTCCAAAGCCAAAAAAACCCAAGTGGTTTTCCTGGGTGAGCTTCTTAAGCTAAATACACAGAGAGCACCTCAAAACACACCCCGCTTTTGAAAACCTCATTAATCATCGATGGCCAGTTGTCATCAATAAAGCACATCCCGATGCAAAATCTAATTTATGGTCGCCTATATTTTCCCCCCTGTGTAACCTGGGAGAAGAAAATAAACAAGGAAACAAACACTCCAGAACTCACAGCAACACTCGACCAGATCCCCCTCTGGGTCTTTGCAGAGATAATCTTGGTGCTGTTACACCTGGTACAGGGAGCGGGGACTCCACAGGTGTTTCCAGAGTCCTACCTTCCAAATGCTCTCCAATCCCCCAGCCGCAACCCCCAACCCTGAATGCAAAATCATCTTTCTGACTTCCAGCGGGAGAGTAACCCTGAAAACTGGGGACATACTGAGCTGTATTTGGTTGATATCCCCCAAAAGAAAGCCTTCCCCTGGAGCCCTCCGGGATGACTTTTTCAACACTCCAAAGGCAGTCTGCACCACAAAACAGGACAAGGAGGTATTTTTGGATGCTAATCACCAGCTCCAAAGAGCCAAAGCTGTTTTTCTCTCCTGAGTCCTACACAAAGGGTGAAAAAGCTGTCCAGATTTGCCTATTGTGTTTACCAATAATCAAGATAGTGTGACACAGACGTGACCTCCTGAAACAAAGGGGTAAATCGCATTACAGGGAAGCTAAAGCCCAAGACAGTGGGGATTAAACCACCCAAAGTGGACTCGGGAGCCGGGGCCAGGAGCAGCAGTGAACACGCAGAGGAAAACTTGCCAGGGTACAAGCCACGTGCATCCCCAGAGAGGGGCCTCGCATTACAGAGATGGGATGACAAAGGTACCAGGATCCCGGACATCCTCGGGAAGGTGGGGGGGGGGCACCCAAACCTGACCCAAGGGTCAGGTGAGACATGGCAGGGGTGAGCACCCCTACCTTCTTCCCTGCCTGTTCCCCAAATTTCCCTAATTCTTCCCCTGTTTCTCCAAATTCCCCTATAGTAATTAAGGAGGCAGACAGAAAGTAAAAGATGGAAAAAAAAAAAAACCGTAACCACAGGAGAGTCATGTTGATGAGGCAAACCGGGAAGGGGACAAACATCCCTTCCCACAGCCCGCGAGCCTCTTCCCAGCTCAGACCTTTGGGAAGGGGGCGTTCTTTGTGAAAGGGGGAGAACCCCAACCCACAAAGGAGATAGGAGAACTTAACCTGGAGACAACCCCCTGTGCTGCCCGCCACCCCCGCCCCCATCCCTGGCGTCCCCTTCCGCGGAAGGTTATTTTCAATTGCGGGGGCAACCGCAAAGCAGGAAGCCCTCTCACCCCAGGCTCTGGCCCCCCACGTTTCCCCTAAAAGCCCCGGCGCCCGGCACATGCAAAGCCTTCGCCCCGCTTCCCGGGGACTGAGCCGCCCAAGTTTCCACCCCCCGCCCGCATCAGCGACCCCCGCGAGGGACCCGGCGCGGACCCGCACCCCCTACCCCCACCCCCGGGATGGCTGCGGAGCGGGGCAACGCGGCTCCGGGTGGCCGTGGGTGCCGAGGGGGCTGCGGGCCCGCCCCGCCCGGTGCTTCCCCACGCCGGCCGGCCTTCCAGACGGCGGCCGCCCCCTCCCGGCGGCCCCACGCGGCCCGGGCGGCCGCCGAGCACGTACCCAGAAGGGGTCGGAGCCATCGGCGCTGCAGAAGCCGCGGAGCTCCATGCGGCGGGCGGGCGGGCGGACGGGCCCGGCGGCAGGCGGCTGCTGGCGACGGCGGCGGCAGCGGCGGGAGGGCGGGAGGCGGCGGCGGAGGGGGCCGGGGCCGCAACGCCGCCTGGTTGGCCCGCGCGTCACGGGGATGCGGCGCCCCGCCCCGCCCCGCCCCGGCGCCCCGCTCTCCTGCTGCCGCGGGGCGCGGGGAGGTTGTGTTGCGCCTCTCCGCGCCCTGCCCGTCGCCCACGGCCCTACAGCTCAGCGGGGGCCCGGGCGGCGGCGCGTGTCCTCCGGGAGCCGCGGGGACCTCTGCGGCCGGCCCCTGCCACCCGTTTTCCAGTCCCGCGGCGACGACAACGACAACCGTAAGAGTAACACCAGGAGAAACCGGGTTCCGAGCCCTGGGCCAGCCCCGAGAGTGCCAAACGGCTCAGCTGCGTCCTCGTTGCATCGTCACTAGCGACACGGAGGTTGAGTGACTTCTCCAGGGTTACCGAGCCGACCCAGCCCGCTGACGCCAGAGCTGACACAGAGACAGTAGGACAAGGATACACTTCGCAGTGAACCCTTCACAGATGGAGAAACTGAGGCCCAGAGAGGTGAAGTGGCTTGCCCAAGGACACACAGCTGCCCATAGCAGGAGTGGGATTTGAACCCATGACCCATCTGACGCCAGAGCACTCGAGGCCCAAAGACTCCAATCTCTATCCCAAACAGTTGCCGCCCCCAACATTGTACAAAGCACCTGAGGCTCAGAGAGGTGAAGTAACTTGCCCAGGGTCACACAGCTGCCATGGCAGAAATGGGATTTGAACCCACCACCCTTCAGACTCCCCCCACTCATGGCTGTTAGACTCCAACCTCTATCCCAAACAGTTGTCTCCCCAACATGTCTACAAAGCTCCTCGGCATTTCTTCACCATCTTTGAGCAGCACTCAAACAGCCAGGCTATTGATCATCACCTTACAGGTAAAGAAAAGGAGGCTTGGAGACATACAGACCTTTCTCAGCTCGTGCAGCAGGTTATGTGGAATAAACCCATAAAAGCTGAATATACCCTAAGTTGAAAATGCCTTTGATGTACCTGAACTACCAAACATCATGGCTTAGCTTAGCCTACCTTAAATGTACTCAGAACACATACATTAGCCTACAGTTGGCAAAATCATCCGACACAAAGCCCACTATATATGAAGTGTTGGATATGTCCGATGTAAAGAATGTCCGTGTTATTGGTTACAGGTGCTCTTGATGGCATGACCTATTGGGGGCTGCAGCTTGCTGCATGGTGAGAAAGTATCATAGGGCATCTCACTGGCCCAGGACAACGTCCAAATTCAAAATTCGAAGTCTGGTTTCTACAGAATGTGTATAGCTTTCACACCATTGTGTCATTGAAAAATCGTAAGTCAAACCACCATGTAAGCATAATTAGCAGGCATTTGCAGTCATAGGGCTTCCTAAGGTCGTGTTCTTAGCAATGAACATGAATTAAATACTCACAACAAGCCCATGAGGTGTTTTTTTTTTTTTTTTAAGATTATTTATTTATTTATTTATTTGGCAGAGATCACAAGTAGGCAGAGAGAGACGAGGAAGCAGGCTCCCTCCTGAGCAGAGAGCCTGATGCGGGGCTCGATCCCAGGACCCTGAGATCATGACCTGAGCCGAAGGCAGAGGCTTTAACCCACTGAGCCACCCAGGCGTTCCCCCATGAGGTTATTATTATTATTATCATCACCATCATCATCATCCCTATTTTGTGGTGGAGAAGACTGAGCCCCAAAGAGGCAGAGTAATTTGTCAGGGGTTATGTAGACAGTAGGTGGCTAAATCACACTTTGAACGCTGGCAGACTGGTTGGGAAGGGAGGAATCTATAACGTTGGCCATTTTGCCCCATCGCCTTAGAAGTGGTTAATGGCCAGGCAATCAGTGACACAGGAGCTGGGGCTGGGGCCTGGGAGTCTAAGCTTTCACTGTGGGTACCCACAACACCTTTCTTCCCTCCTCTCCTCCTTAATCCCCTGCCTGGTATATCGTTTCCATAACACACACACACATACACACATCAGCTGCATCAAATAAAACAAAAAGAATGATTGAATATGAGACACACACACACACACACACACACACACACAGGACCTAGGAAGGGAGATAGGATTAGTTTCTATGACTTTTTTTTAAAGATTTATTTATTTATTTATTTATTTATTTATTTATTTTAGAGTGGGTGAGAGAGACAGCATGAGCCAGAGGGGCAGATGGAGAGGGAGAGAGAATCTCGAGCAGACTCCCAGCTGAGTCTGAGGTGGGACTCGATTTCACCACCGTAAGAGCATAAGCTGAGCTGAAACCAAGAGTCAAATGCTTAACCGACTACACCACCCAGGCGCCTCTCTCTGATTTTTTTTTTTTAAATTGGCCCATGTTCCTCTGAATGTGAGTTTTTAAGGGATCATTTACATGCAAGTGATAATACTCCCTGGGTAGTTGCTTTAAGATTTATACATTCAACAAATATTTATTGAACATCTATTTTAGGCCAAGTCTTGCTAGGAACAAGAGACAATTGCTGTTCCTATGGAGCTGAAAGTGTTAGGATTGTTTTTGTGGTAGGTGGTGGTTTTTTTAAGTAATCTTTATACCCAACATGGGGCTTGAACTCATGACCCCAAGATCAAGAGTCATACACTCCCTTGATGGAGCCGGTCAGGTGCCCCAAAGTGTTGAGGTTTTTACAAGTATTTTTTTTATGGTAGGGGAACAGGTTAATTAAATTATCACATAAAGAGGCGACTGGGTGGCTCAGTGGGTTAAGCCTCTGCCTTCAGCTCAGGTCATGATCTTGGGGTCCTGGGATTGAGCCCCAAATCGGGCTCTCTGCACAGCGGGGAGCCTCCTTCCCCCTCTCTCTCTGCCTGCCTTTCTGCCTGCTTGTGATCTCTCTCTTTGTGTTAAATAAGTACATAAAATCTTTTTAAAGAAATTAAAATAAATAAATTATCACATAAAGAAAGTCTATTACAGCTGTATTAGAAGTTAGGAAGAAAAGTGGAAAAGAGCCAACAAGGGTTGTGGCTTGCTGGCAGCAGAGGTTAAGGAAGGCTCCTGGGAGGATGGATTTTTGAGCCGAGATAAAACTGATGAGTCTGGTCTCAGGCTTGCAGGAAACACAAACAGGACAGAGCAGGTCCTCAGAAGAATTGGAAGACGATCTGGGTGGCAGAAATCCAGAGGCAGAAGCAAAAAGCACCCATCGGGGCAAGAGACATCAGAAGGGGCCAGAACTTGCAAGATCTTGTTGGCCGAGGGAGGGGTTTCAGTTTGGCCTTAAAAGCCATGGGGAGCCACCTGTAGGCTTTCAGCAAGGCAAGACAGGGCTATATGTGTTTCTGTTGTCATCCACACATTTTGTTCATTCATTCTTTCCACAAATATTGATGCAGCAAAAATTTGAAAACTTTCTTAGCATCATTAGTCACCAGGGAAATGCAAACAAAACCCCAGCTATGACAACCTACTGGAGGGACTAAATTGAAAATACCAAGTTTCTGCCACGATGGAGAAGTAGGAAAACTCTCCTCCTCCATTAGTGGGAGCATAAATGGATTCAACCACTTTGGAAAACTGCTAGGTACTTTGTGCCCAAGCTGAACACAGGGCTGCAAGGTCATTACAGCAACTTCTCTCCTTCCTGGGGGAGACGGGAGTGCTGATGGGCATCGAAAAACATCTATGAGATATGCCCGTTAAGTTTTATTCATATAGCTAAAAACTAGAATAGGCATGGCCCATTGGTAGTCAAAAAGATGAATGAATTGTGACATATGCGCACAGTAGATCACCACACAGCCAAAACATTTTTAAAAATAGAATCGGGGGGCCGCCTGGGTGGCTCAGTGGGTTAAAGCCTCTGCCTTCGGCTCGGGTCATGATCCCAGGGTCCTGGGATTGAGCCCCACATCGGGCTGTCTGCTCAGCAGGGAGCCTGCTTCCTCCTCTCTCTCCGCCTGCTTCTCTGCCTACTTGTGATTTCCGTCTGTCAAATAAAGAAATAAAATCTTAAAAAAAAAAATAGAATCAGGGGTACCTGGGTGGCTCAGTCAGCTAAGCATCTGCCTTTGGCTCAGGTTATGATCTCGGGGTCCTGAGATCGAGCCCCGAGTCGGGCTCCCTGCTCAGCGGGGAGTCTGCTTCTCCCTCTTCCCCTGCCACTCCCCCTGCTTGTGCTTTGTCTCTAAAAAATGGTGTGTGGGGGGGGAATCAGGGATGCCTGGGTGGCTCAGATGGTTAAGCATCAGACTTGTGATTTTGGCTCAAGTTATGATCTCAGGGTCGTAAGATCAAGCCCCACATTAGATCCCACACTCAGCTGGGAGTCTGCTGGAGTTTCTCTCTCTTTAAAAAAAAAAAAAAATGAAACTCACTGAGCTGGGGTGGGGGGTGTCTGAGTGGCTCAGTTGGGTAAGTCTTTGCCTTCGGCTCAGGTCATGATGCCAGGGTCCTGGGTGGAGCCGCAAGTCAGGCTCCCTGCTCTGCTGGGAGTCTGCCTCTCCCTCAGCCCATCTCCCCTGCTTGTGCTCTTTCTCCTTCTCAAATAAATAAAATCTTAAAATAAAGAAATAAAATAAAATTCATTGAGGTGGACATTCAAGGAGTTTGCACTTCTATAAGAGCTACACCTTACATAAACATTGAAACCAGAAAATAAATAGTGTACCATTTTCCAGGAACAGAAACTGAGGGTTAAGGCACAAGAAGGAACATGCAGGGTCCCATTGGTGGGATGTGGCCCAGCGACGCCCAGCCCTGCCCTTGAACTGCCAGTGCTCTCCCCACCCAGAACCAAAGTCCCTCCCTTCTTCTCTCCGTCCCCTTTCTCCCCATCTTCGGGTCCATACAGTGAGAAACACCTGAGACAGCAGCTCTGGGCCACGGGCCAAACCCACCTGACTGGCAATCAACAAAAGAACTGGATGAAAATCCAGGATGTAGATTTCCAGCCCGGCAGCCTTGGTCGCCTGTGATAGAGTGAATCCAGCAGACCTAGCAGACAAGAAGGCCAGGGAGATCCTTTTGATTTCTCCCTGAATCCTAGCATCCTGTTCCCATTTACTTATCACTATTGGCAGTCATCTAATTATGTGTTCTGTAGAGGCCTCCCCAGCCACCGTGCTGAAAGGTACTAGTTCCCACCATCCCTGATGT